CTGCCGATGGAGATCCCGTTCGATCACATCCAGCCACTTCGGGTCGCCCGGGAGGAGATCCAGTTCCTGGGGAGGAGAGGGTTGGGGTGAGCAGCCGCACCGACACGTGGGGCAGCCACGGGGCTCTGCCCCGAACACGAGCCTCAGCAGGCCGTGGGTTAGCCCACGATGGTTGGGATGCGAGCCACCTTGCCCCCGCCCCCCCAGCAGCAACAAGCGACATCTGGGAGCCCAACAGACACCCCAAGCCCTGGAGGGAGCAGGAGCCACCCCAGCACGGCCCCCCGTCCACCAGCACCCCCTCCTGGAGGTGCAGGAAGGTCCCCCCGCCTGCACTCACGTCGAACTTGCCCATGTTCTGCTCCAGCTTGACCTTGCTCCCGGAGAGGTACTGCCAGGCTCGGCCCCGCAGCGAGGGCGGGATCCCCTTCTGGCACCGCAGCCGGATCTGGGGGGAGAGACGCAGCCGTCACGGCGGGGGGAACGGCAGAGCAGCGGGCACCAAAGAAGCCCCCAGGGGCAAGATGGGAGCCAGAGCCAGCACCGTGGTCACAGGCTGGTCCCCAGCCGCCTCCTTGTACGAGGGGACGTGTCCCTGCTCCCCTGGGGACAGGGGGCCCAGCCACACGTCCCCTGATGGCGGCTGGCATCACGCAGAGCTACGGGATAGCGTGGGGAGCTGCAGCCAGAGACCCCGAGGATCTCAGGAGGGGTCTTGCTCACCCCCTTTCCCCCCAGCATTGCTCTTAACATGCCAGGCAGAGCTACACCAGCACGAGGGAGTTGCTGACGGCTGCCAGGAGCCCGGCCAAGGCTTTGCGGCTTGCAAACGGCTCCAAACAAGCCCAGCTTTGCCTCAAAGCAGGATCCTGCTGGGAGCTGGAAAGGCAAACACTGGAGCCAAGGCAGGGAGCGGGTGGCTCCCTCCCATCCCAGCACGGCCCGTGGGCAGCACTGGGGATGCAAAGGAGGGCTCTCTGCCCCCCCGGCCGGCCCTCCTGCTCACCCGCGGGGCCACGGAGAGCAGGAGGTGCACCCTGGCGAGCGGCTCAGCCCTCCCGCCTGCTCACCCCGGGCAGAAGGACAGGCCTGGCCCCGGCTCCATGCATGGCCGGCTCCGTGCCCACAGTTGGCCCCCAGCTTCCTTGGCACAGGGCCCCAGCCAAGACCAAAGTCCAGGTGAGGCAGTGACCGCCGGTACCTACGCCGCGGCAGGGAGCTGGCTTAACCCTGCCGCTGCCAGCACCCCATCCGGGACCACGACCAGAGACCCCCACACGTCCCGCTCTGGCTCCCGGGAAAGCAGCAGCACCATCTCCCCACGGTCCTCGGCCCGCAGCGAGGTAGGACACACGAGACGGATGCTTTCAGCGCAGTTACTCCGCATAAAGCCCTGCGGAAACCCAGCGTGGCCTCCCCACCTCATTTCCCCATTTGGGTGGCACACGCCAAGTGCCGCAGACGTGCCAAAGCTCCGTGAGCCCCGGCCGACAGCTCCCAAAGCCTCCCTGGGCCTCCCCAGAGCTCCTTTTCCCCCTTTACCAGTATAACTGGGGAGCAATTGTGCTTCCAAGCAGCCCAGCCCAGCGCGGTGGCAACGCCACGTCCCCAGGAGGGTTTGCTGCTCCCTCGCCGCAGCGCTGCTTGTTTACCCCGGGCAGGTCCCGAGCCCTGCGAAGCCTTTGTGCTCGCAGGAAACGTGGCGGGCGATGCCCGGGGCGGCTGCGGGGCAGCTCTGCCGCTGCTGACAGCTCCCTTTTCGAGCCGGCTCCCTTTCCTGCTGGCTAAGCTGCCAGGAAGGAAGCAAACCGCCTTGCTGGGTTTCGGTTCGGCAGCCCCTCCAAGCTGGCCAGGCTCAGCACCGCCGGCGCCAAAGTGGCTGAGCATCTCATCGCCTCGCCTCCGCACGGGGTCCTGCCGTCGCCCCCTGGGTTCCCGGGATCCCGCCGTGTCCTTCTAGGGACAAGGGAGCACGTCCGGGCTGAGGGATGGTGAAAGCAAAGAGCAGTCGGAGCGCTGCTCATCCCTGGAGAGCAGCGGGAGCTGCCCACGCGTCTGCCCTCCTTCGGGCTGGTTGGAAAGGGCAAGGACCGGCACGCGGCAATGGCACGGCTCGGCGCCATGAAGGACACGGGGCCGCGGCTCCGCTGGGATCCGAGCCAGGCGGGTGAGGGAGGGAGCGTTTCGGGCTCC